TGTATATATATATATACATCTGCCCTTTTGTGTTATACAATATATGCTATAGACAAAGGGGTTAACTGTGTAGCCACATGCCTGTGTTCAATTTTTTTATCTGGAGCTTTGTACGGGCCAAGCCACCATAATTTTGAAGTACTAGACATGGTCTATATATTAGGCATACGCTCAGTGCCACCTTACACTGTGTATAAGTCATCATATGAACTCATACCCTCCCAATCTTCTTACTTTCCCGCTTACATGTGGTCGTATCGCGATGGTGCTGTGGATGCTTTGCTGCTATGGCTTATTGTTGCTGTACATTTGGTGGTGGTGGTTTATTCTTTTTCCTAATATACACATAAACGGTTTTCACATACGTACATTTGCACTTCCTGTGCATGTTTACCTTCATGTGTTGCACTTGTGGTGCTGCAATACGTGCTTGTCGGCTGCACATTCATTCGTCTGTACCAACTCTACACGACACCCACCCACATGTATTGCCTTCGTATCAACCCAACCTTGTGCATATGTGTGCGCATATATCAACATGTGTTTGTATGGGTATTTACACTGGCTATATACTCCCATCCCCTCCTACCACTTGGATGCGATGTTAATCGTGTGCATATATATACACCTCCGTCTATACACATCCGCGTGTCTGTGTGCATCACCCCAATGTGTCCACGCTTGTGACCGTGCTGGAAATACAGTAGGTAGGCCTTTAGCGTCCTACTCAACATCAGCACCTCTACACGCCCCCATCCGAAAGATTATCGTTGTAGGAAGTGGGTTGGCCGGACTCTCTGCGTCGATTGAGGCGTACAATGCTGGAGCGAACGTCGTTCTGGTAGAGAAGGAGCCACGGTAAGGCCCATATGGAGCGCTGCGTGTGGTTATGGGTCTATGTGATTGCTTTGTTGTGGGTTTCTGCATTTTCTATTATTTTTGTATGAACTTATAGATTTATGTGCCTACGCGTATGCATCTAGAGGGAGTGTTTGCATTCTATGTTTTCTGTGTTCGAACGTATGGATTTATCAGTCTACGTATATATATGTATATCTATCTATATATATCTATATATATATATATATTGTGTGTGTGTATGTGTGTTTCTTTGCTACTTGTCAAAACGTATGTCGCACGATCATGCTGCTCAAGGCATGGCTCTGTTTATGAATATATATCACAGGGTGGGAGGAAACTCGGCAAAAGCTACATCTGGTATAAATGGCGCTGCATCTAAATATCAGAAGAACGCTGAAATCGACGATAGCGTTGGTACCTTCAAAAAAGACACGCTTAGGTAAGAAAGGTATCTTTAAACAGACCCAATACCACGTCAGATACGTCTGGGATTGGACGGCGGCAGTGTGTAAAAAAAAGAATAGGAATGCGTGCTTCCATGTGATTTATGCTCACTTTCTATCCGTCAATGTAATTCGCATTCTACTATTTCATTAGCCTCTAGTAGGCACACGTATTTATTAACGCAACATCATCATCGCTCTAAACAACCCTCTGAACTATCTCCAACTTCAACTTTACCCAGCTCTGGAGATGGCCTGTGTGTTGAGAGTCTGGTAGACCTACTGGCGAATAACAGCGCCAGTGCCATCGATTGGGTCTCCTCCTTTGGCGTTGAGCTGAGCAACATCGTTTTCATGGGTGGACATTCGGTATGCGTACACGTGATTCCTTCGTTCGATCTGTACCCTGTTGTATGAGCAACATCGTCTTCATGGGTGGACATTCGGTATGCGTTCACGTGATTCCTTCGTTCGATCTGTACCCTGTTGTATAAGCAACATCGTTTTCATGGGTGGACATTCGGTATGCGTACACGTGATTCCTTCGTTCGATCTGTACCCTGTTGTATGTGTACACATATAGTCTGTCTGTTTTCCTATAACTGGTTATTAATATATACCACACTAGGGTGATGTATCCTTCCTGCTTCGCATAGCTTTTTATTTGTGTACACGCGCAGCGTGCCTGCTTTCCATGTAGCTGCTAATCGATACTTACTATACTCGAAGCAATACTCGCATATCATTTATATGACTTTTTTGTGAACCACCAATATAATAGGGTTCGTACACACACCTCCGCTTAAAAATTGTTTTCAAGCACTCCTGCTCTAGTTTATGTGCAATTACATGGTCTTCCTTTACCCAGGGGGGGGGGACTACTACTCTGGGGTAGTTTTAGATTTGCATTCTTCTTCTTGCGATTGAAAACTTCTACCGCGGGTTAGCAAATCCTACCTACACACAACTTGCTGTTGAGATCTGTTGCTCTTGTATAGGTATACGTACATATCGTCCCTATAACTTATTGTTGATATGACTGTTCTACGGTAGGATGTTCCCGCTTAAACTTGTAGTTAAAAACTACTGCCCTATAGTAGGTGTACACACATGTGCTACTTATGATATGTCATGTTTCGCTACCCGTCCAGTGGATGTGCACGCACATGCTTTTAGTTTAGCTTGGTATTGAAAACCACTATACATGCTTTTAGTTTAGCTTGGTATTGAAAACCACTATACATGCTTTAGTTTAGCTTGGTATTGAAAACCACTACTCCAGACTTAGGCATTCCATTGCAGCAACAGACCAGGTCCATGTTGGCCTCGGCAAATACGCATCGCCCAATTTATCTACAGTATTAGCGATCGCTGACCACAGTGAAACGATAAAATTGCTTGCTTCAATTTCGGTTCCTACTCATACTGGCAGCAACAACAAACAACTGTAGTATCACATACATGCTTGTGTTTCAATTAGCATTCGTAATCACTCATACGGCAACCACGAACACTGACTATGATGATGTATTCTATTGCTGACCTTAATTCATATACAAATTATACTTGCAGCAACAACGAACACATAGAGAACCAGCCAGACCCGATGGTAAACCCAGTCCCGTAGGCTTCAACATTGTGAGTGCGTTGAGAAAACACGCTGAAAGTCTAGTTGGAGGTATGTGGTTATATATATATCGATTTGCAAACATGTCACGAGTTTATGTCGATTCATATAAATTTTTGACCGAGTTAGTAACTAGGTTTATTATCACTAACCTGATTTCAACAGACAAATTCGCGATCAAGACTGGTACTAAAGTAGAACGGGTCATAACGACGAAGGCTGGGGAGGACATTGTGGCGAGCGGCGTGCAAGTCTCAGATAGTGACGGAAATGTAAGTCGTGTATTCGTACTGATATATATATATATATGTGTGTGTGTCTGTGTCCGTGTCCGTGTCTGTGTCTGTGTGTTTCTACATACATATATAGTCAAAATCAGTTACACACATATATGTTAATGTACTCACATGCGACTTGTGTGATCTTTATCTCCATCAGCGTGAAGAGCTTATAGGCACAATTGTCTTGGCAACCGGTGGCTATGGCAACGATCATACCGACTCCTCGCTTTTGCAGGAGTTCAAGCCTGAAGTCGCGAATCTGCCGACTACCAACGGACGTATGTGATGCCCGCGTGAGCGTCTACTGCTGTGCTTGTGCGTATGTGTGATTGTGATTATGCTGATTTGTCCTTACTGAGATACCTACACGCGCCTAAAGCGTCGGCCCTGCCATTGATACATCGCTGATGCAAATGAACAATTTGAGTGGTTGTATTTAAAACCTTAATCCAGTTGCTATTTATTGGATATATCTCGTAAAAAATTGGGTATTAACCACAGAATTCGCCCTGATTCTCGTATCCATAGCCTTCGCCACGGGTGAGGGTGTGAAGATGGGTAGGGCTATTGGGGCGCAGCTGATGCATATGGACAAGGTGCAAATCCACCCCACTGGATTCATTGAGGTGACTGACCCCAACTCTGCGAGCAAGTTCTTGGCCCCTGAAGCGCTCAGAGGCTCGGGTGGCATCCTTTTGAATTCAGGTAGAATAGGTTATATAACGGGATATGTAGTATCGGATGTTGGGAGGGCTGCTTCTTCTGTTTCGCTGAAGGTGTGATATCATTGCTGACGGAACATGCGATAGCGGATGCTGTGTTCTTGGAATGCGCGTGAATGTATTTCCCTCTGTACTTCGACCGGGGATTGAAGTGTCTAAAGACTCCCAAGTATACTGTCAGGACCGTTGATCTGAATCATTCAAAGGTTCTGGCTGGGTTTTACTCACATACCCAGTGTCCTATCGCGGTCGCGCACGGTTGCTCACGCACTCAAAATATCTACAATTATCAAACACACACAACGTATCAACACACACAACGTATCAACACACACAAACAAATGGATGCCAACAACGCAGTAGCACATACGTACACATGAGCGCTAACACACACGCCCTGCGGGGAACCGAGCACACACGCACGATGAATACAGACACTAACATGCGTCATACACGCATACACGGCTCACCCCTTGTCCTACCAGAGGGCAAGCGCTTCACCAACGAACTCGGGCGCAGAGACGATGTGACGGCTGCTATCTTCGCGCAGAAGACCACCCTCAAAGGCGTGGACAACTCCCCATCCGTAGCCTACATGCTGCTGAACGAGGACATGTGCGATAAGTTTGGGCAGCCAAATTTAGGGTTCTACAAGTTCAAGAAACTGGTCAGGCCTGTGGAGTCGCTGAAGGACCTGGCCGAGGAAATGGGTGCGGATGTCGAGGTACACACAGTGTGTTGTGTTGTGTGTGGTCTGGTGTTCGGAGGCTATGCTTTCAGTGTGTTAGAGGTATAGGGTTTAGGGGTGGAAAGGTAAGGTCTGTTGAACGACTTTGCGGAGAGATAGGTGCGGTTGCCTGGGTATATGCATTGTGTCGTGTGTAGTGTGGTGTTCGGAGGCTATGCTTTCAGAGTGTTAGAGGTATAGGGTTTAGGGGTGGAAAGGTAAGGTCTGTTGAACGACTTTGCGGAGAGATGGGTGCGGTTGCCTGAGTATATGAATTGTGTTGTGTTGTGTGTGGTGTGCGAAGACTGCGCTTCCAGGGGTTTAGAGGGTTGGTATTTAGACTTTAGAGAGCCTTCCCGAGGATACAAATTCTAGTGTGTGGGTACAAAATGTGTCACGCCATAGAAAAGCCGGCTTTGCAAAGTCATGACCCTCCAGGCTGTGAACACGTAGGGTTTTCGGGTTTTAGGAGAACGCCATTGTATGCACAGCTCGTACACGCACACTCAACTCGTCTGCTCGCTCTTGTTATGTTGTTATCAACAGACTCTGAAGGAGACCCTCAGCAACTACGGCAAGGATGCGGATCCATTTGGCAAGAAGGTCATCCCCTACACCTTCAACGCAGACTCCGACAAGCTCTGTATGTGCGAGTCTCTGCCAACTGTGTTTCTACTATGCATTATATCTTGGGGTATTAGAAGTTTAAAACCTAAACCCGGCCTTGAACTGTGTACTCACTGGCGGATTCATCTCACCCTATCCAATTGTTAACACTACACCGTGGGAGATTTAAGCCTAGTCACCCAGGCAAGCATCCTGGCTAAAGACTTGCCCACTCATCGCCTTGTGCATATAACCTATACCATCTATACAGGGGTTGCCGTCATCACACCTGCCATCCACTACACAATGGGAGGTCTGAGTATCAACACCCAGGCCAACATAATGGCCGATGGCTCCAACAGACCCATCAAGGGACTGTATGGCGCAGGAGAGGTCACCGCTGGGGTTCACGGCGGCAATCGTCTGGGTGGCAATTCGCTGCTGGAGTGTGTGGTACGTAAAGTGTGTGGTCGTGGTGACGCAAGCGTGGCTGTAGCCTGCGTGTGTGTGTATCACTGGAGTGTGTGTGTGTGTGTATCACTGGAGTGGGTGGGTGTGTGTATCACTGGAGTGGGTGGGTGTGTATATCACTAGAAGGGATGGGTTCATAAGTCTTGGCTATAGTCTGCGTGCGTGTATATATAGGCCATATGATTCCTGTGAGCGTGTATGTGCACTTTGCGACAATCGACTGGATCTGCAGTGTGGATTACGGTCTATTTCAGTAGGAGTCCAAATGTATATACACAATGTATGCGGTGACTATGTACATTGATATGCTGCTCATTTGCATTTGCATTTGCTATTTGTTTCAATAGGTCTTTGGGCGCATCGCGGGCAAGTCTGCCGCTACCTACACACAGGACACCTTGGCATCTGCCAGAGAACTCGACGAGCCTACAGAGTAACCCCGAACACCTCCAAGAGTAACTCCCGGAGGCACAGAGTAGCTTCAACTCAACCATTAATAAGTTGAGTCACCACTCTTGATAGAGCTGTGCTGGCTGGACAGACCAAAGTACCGACCCAGGCAAGGCCCTGCGGAATCTTCAGTGAATGAGACCGTATATATAAATATACATATATATATATATGTGTGTGTGTGTGTGTGTGTGCGTGTGTGTGCGCGCGTGTTACGAATGATAAGCGTCTTACTAGCCAGCTCAACGCCTCTCGAGTATTGAGAGTAGTTTCATAGAGTACATGCCGTTTGCAATAAAACGAATTGATAGCAGTTCTAGTGACTATAAGTATTCCATATCAAATACCACTGAAACACATTTTTGGCATGTGTCTTCACTTTAAACGCTTCACATCAAAAATCGATGACCCACATTCGTTATATCTGTTGATGACTCATTGCTATTACCAACTACGAGCTTTCAATTCTGTTACAATAAATAAGGTTTGCACTTTTCTTGCTCGCCCTCTATTGCAATAAACCATGACACTCACAAAACCCGATCGCGAGGCTCCATATCCAATATTTTCTGACTCATCTTTCGGAATCCTCATTGTTCCCTCATTGCTTTACCAACAACGAGCTACCAGTCCGGCTATAATAGACGTGCTTAAACTTTCTAGCTCATTTTCTATTGCAATTAACCTTGACACAAAAACAACCCCAACCACGCAAACATGGGGAGACATACATGGTTAGCCACAGTAGGCAATAAAAATCGGTGTTTCTAATATTCCACCGAACACGGTCAGTGGGTGCGGTGAGTTGCTGATCTTCTATGGACCGTCCTAATTTAGACGGCTATCCACTTCCAGCCCTCTACACTGGAGCCAGCGTCCTAATTATCACCACGGGTGCCCATTCATTGGCCAAATAAGTCGCCGGATGTTCAGCCGTACAGTCTAACGTAACTTTTGGCCTTGGGTGACTTGCGAGCATTAGGTCCGGTGGGTACAGAAAACATTCACTACAGTTTGTTGATTAGAGTTGTTTCTGAATCAAACCCCTTTTTTGCTACCATGGGGGTCTAATTAAGGGCCAATTTGTCTCAGGAGTTTAAGCTGTACAGTCTAGCGTATTTTCGGTGCGACTTGCATATGAGGATTATGTGCAGTGTAAACATAGTGGTCATGTTTTTTGTTGTCTTGTTTTAGTTTGTTTCTACACTAAGACCCTTTTTTTCCTTCCATAGGTGTCTAATAAGGGCCAATTTATCACAGGAGTTTAAGCTGTACAGTTTAGTGTATTTTCAGTCCGGCTTACATACGAGGATTGAGTGGGGTGCAAACATAGTATTCATATTTATTCTTTTATTAGTTTTGTTTCTGAAACAAGCCCCTTTTTTCTTCCCACGGAGGTCTGTATACGGGCCAATTTGTCGCAGGAGTCCACGCCTTGCAGTCTAGCGTATCCTGTGCGCGACTACCTCTCAGATTCTTTAGGCTGTACACCGCGTGAGGAAGCTTGGCCAGTTCCGATCTGTGGATGTTCAGGGTTTTGAGGTTTTAGGGTTTTGGGATTTTTATGCGACAGCCTACTAAAATCGAACAATTTTTTTAGGTGTGACCGAAAAAAAACAATGTTTAAGATGCTGTGTATTATGGGTGTATTTATGAAGGTTCTCCGAGCTTTTGTACGATATGAATACATGAATGGCATAGCCTTCTAAATTGAACATGAATGGGTATGGGTTCATTGCGATCTGCAAGGTGTGTCAGGGACACTACTCGTATGTGCGTAAATGTGCGCTAAAGGGATGTTTATGTGAAATCTATTCGGTACGCATGTAAATGTATGTCAGTGAGACATGCACATGCATTTTTTACCACTTAGATATGTACGGATGCTGAAACTACAGCACTACTAGGCCATGCCAATACTTATAATAAGTATAACAATGCCTTGAAACCGGCAACAAAATCGTAACGGGTACTTCATCGACCAGAGTCCGAAAAACCTATGCGGGACAAGATCACCCCTACTGAATCAGTTCAATCAATTCAGTATTAATATGAAACTGAAAACCGCATCAATGGCATCACCAGTACCAAATCAGATAAACTGATTCAAAACTAATTTTCAAAACACTAATGGCATGGCATCATCAGTACTAAATCAGATCAATTAATTCAGATATGATATGAAACTTAAAAAAAAACTTTTAAATCAGTACTAAATTGGATCAACTAGTTAGATATTAACATGAAACTAAAAAATACACGAATGGCATCGTCAGTATTAAATCAGATCAATTAATTAGATATTAATATGGATTTAAAAAAACACGAATGGCATCATCAGTACTAAATCAGATCAAACAATTTAGAAATTAATATGAAACTAAAAATAAACGCATTAATGTCATCATTACTAAACCCGATCAATTAATTCAAATACGATAACCAAAGGCACACCAAGACAAGTAACCCGGGGACAAGAGCTGTATTCCTAGGACAAACGTCAGTCCTACTGACTTGGCATGGACGTCAGATCCGCTCTTTGTCACTTCGTGACTACTAAATACGACAAGCAAGCACATTCCAAACCAACGCCCTACAGACGACCGAGGCTTACTTGCGTGCTACTTACTTGTCTGCTATCTTCAGCAACTCTACAACCGCTTTGGGGTCCATGGCGGGCAGGTCCAGATGGTCGATGCACAGCAGCGCCGCTTGCGCCGTCTGTTCTGCGTTCAGCTCTTGAGACTCAGCCCACGACATGCACAGCTTCATCAGCTGCACAGTACACGGGGGGTAGAGGGAAGGTAATGGAAATTGTAGCGTATTCTATTGGTGCAATGGAAATGTTTGCACTCCGCTGTCATGGCGATAAGCACAGCTTCGTCAGCTACATAGTACAAGGGGGACAGAGAGATAAAGAGTACGGGCGTAACGCAATGAAAATTGTAGCGTATTCTATTGATACAATGGGAATGTTTGCACTCCGTTGCCATGGTGAAATGCACAGCTTCATCAGTTGCACAGAACAACGATGATAGAGGGATAGAGGTGACGGACGTAAGGCAATGGAAGGCAGATGTTGCGCAATAGAAACCATGTACTATAGGTACTTGCTACTAGTGCATATACATCAACAATCGAAGAAACGATACCTACCTTGTTCGGTGTGTATCTTCTCTTCATTTGCGTGTTGTTGAGGAGCCTGGCCATACTCCCAGATTCGATGGGATTAGTTATGCCCCAAATCAAGTGTCGCACGGTCGACTTTGAGTCCTCAAAATCTGGAGAGGTTGAGTGCATTTCAGTACAAGAAAAACGGACAAGGAGCCAGGCAAAAGGTGGGTGACTATAAAGCAAGACAATTCTAGGGGGGGGGGTATAAAGTTATAAAACGTGACAATTCGTGGGGGGGGGGGGGGGGGGGTTATAAAGCGGAACAATTATAGATCCTATAGACAACGGCTAGTGATATTCTCAGAGATATCTATAGGATAATGTACATCTACCTACCGTGGTTACTACCGGCAGTCAGGCAATCACAAGCAGTATTAACAAGTATACACAACTGTTCGTGATGTGCTCAGAAGACTCGTATAACCATATATCAATGATTCTTTTACCTACCATGAGTACGAACTATTAACAATCACACTTTACCTACTATGGGCGACATCAGATGTCACA